AGGTGCTCTAACGTTATTTGCTGCAATCTACACATTTCCTAATAAAGCAAGAAAAAAAAAAAAAAAGACTAATTTCACCCCTTTGGAGGGACCTTGGCAAGCCTCAAGCCTTTCCTCATTAGCAGTCCATCTGAAGCCCCCAGAATTTGCTGGATTAATAGGACAGAGCTATTAGCATCGGCGAACAGCAATAAGCTCCAAAAAATATGTTCACCTGCTGAAGTTAGCAGAGTGACAAGCAGTTTAAGACACTACTTGAAAATTCAAATTCTGCCTGTCTTTTTACCATCCAAATCTTCCAGCTTGTCACCTTGCTAAGGTTGTGGGCTGGATTTTAGCTCAGACAGGGTAATGTAGTAGGAGTTAAACCTTGTAACTTCTTTTCTCCACTCTGCATCAACGTCTGTCTCCTACTTCTCTCTGCTAGAAGCAGGAACACAAAAAAGTAGTTCTAGCTCAGCCAGAGCTAGATTTTTATCAGCTCATTTTAGTCAATAAAGAAAGAAGTCAATCACTCTTGGAAAATAGCACATTCCAGGCCCGTATATACCAGGCCAGTACAATCGCAGAATAAATCAATAACCACATTAATCAATACGATGTAAACTGCTGATCTCTGTGGATAAATTGTACCTGTGTAAGAAGGCTTTCAAATAAATTCCAAACCCACTCAAACTGCATAGGCTTTAAATCTACTAAGGGCAGTGGGACAAGTGAAAGATTTGTGTTGTTTCTCTTTAAAATCTCTGGGAGAGCAGGGACTGCAGAATAATGCAATTAAACCACGCTAGCAGTGCTCACACAATCTCACACAAAATTCACTCCATGGCGCATGGAGAGCTGCAGGAAATGTCCCTCAGCTCAGACCTGCCAGCCCCAGGGGACTCCTCATCAGGCATTATCCCAAGAGGGAAGGCTGGGCTGGGTGTCAGGGGTGTGCAGAGGAGGGACACTGAGCTGCAGCTTGATTCTTTTACAGCCCCACAGCTGTAGGACGTTTGCTCCCCCAGCAGGCACTCAATTTTATTTATTTATTAAAAAAAAAAAAATCTCTCTCTCTCTCTCTTTTTTTTTTTTTTTTTTTTTTTTTTCCAGAGACCATGGACACATTGCTCAGAAGGGAAAACCTGGGTCACACCAACAGCCTCTAGCAGAGCATGAGCTGGAGCCAGGCAGCACAGCGATGAGCCAGTGCCTTGCCTATCCTGGCCCATCCACACTGTCTGTGGAAGTCTGTAAGTGCAAAATGTCTAGGGACTTGAACACGCCTTGTGACAAACTTGCAAGGGGCACTTCTGGTAGCCCTTTGTGGGTCAGAATTATTCCAGTTCATTCTCTAAGGATAAATGTTTGGAGACATTTTTCAGTACAGGAAAATATTGTCGTACATAGAATAGGTTAAGCAAAGAAATGATACATAACAGCATTATTAATATGGCATTATAATTGCTACATTAGACCTATTTTCAAGTACTAAGTGCTAGAAACTGATAAAAGGAAGTTCATATTAAATAAATAAATAAATAAAACTAAAAGATTGAAGCCATTTAGAGGCCTTTATTATACCATGCTGTCAAAATGTCCAAGTGACCTTTTCTACATGGTAAATTTCTCCAAGAAAGACTTTATACAAGCTATTTTAATAGCACTGTTCCTCTGCCTCCCCTTCCCTTTCCTCCCCGCCCCTCCAAAAAAGAAAAAAACTCATAGTTTTTGTTTAGATAATAGTCAGAGCAAGAGAAATGCCAGATCCTTATACACACGCTGAAGATGACCAGAGGCATTATATACCAAGCCTTTGCAACCTTGTGTACATTTTTTTTTAGGTAGAGGGATATTTCTGAATGCCTATGTATGAATGTGCAAATGCAAATGTGAAAGAATGGCATTCTTTGATATTTTTCATCCACATGAATCCCTGGGTAAGTGGCAGCACTCCAGCAATCCACTTGCAGTGGCAGAAGACGGCACACAGACATCATCTCAGCCTGACGGCTGGGGTAGGCTGAGCCACTCCTTGGGATAAATAATGCAAAGACTGCGAGGCTCTGCTCATTTCCATACTTCCTGTGCTCGGAAGTTCTCACCATCCTTGTAGCAGAATTTCAGTAGTCCACTGCGAATATTTCCATACCTCAAACCACGTACACCCAAAGGCTATAGCATGGCTGCATCCACACAGACCCTTGCAAGCTATCCAAAGTTCAAGGTAACTGACATTCAGTAGCGATGAGATGCCAGTTATGGTGCCTTGGAAATGTAGGAGTGGAGGAAAGGCATCAGAGATATTCAGGGTAAGGCAAGATCTGCTCCCGCTTTTGCCCAGGGAAGAGCAAAGAGCAGCTGGATGTGTGAATTGAAAGCTGAATGGATGAAACCTGTGGGGGCGGAAGGAGAGAGGCAGCGCTCCCAGCCATCGGCCCACGGCAGCCCCACGCCTGCCAAAGCCTCTCTGAGCAGATTAATTCTTGCTTTCACACAGCAAATCATTGTGGGAAATTCTCTGTGACTGCAGTATAGTCAGATATTAATAAAAATCTTTCTTTGCTTTTGCAATGTATTTATACGTAAGTGTGATTTAGAGCTCTGTGTCAAGTCCTCGCTAGCGCCGCATACCAATGACCTGCACAAAACACAGGGTGCTTCTGCACATCAGGGTAATGCTGATTTAGGGGCTGGTGCAATAGCACATGTGGGCCATTTTATTTATTTTTTTTGGCATTCATATTCAAAAATTGCTCTATAAAGAGGGGGGAGGCATTAAAGAAAGCTTAAATGATCTTAAGTCACAATGAAACATTGCATTTGGAACTAAATGAAACATTTGGATAGACTAAAAATTGCTTTTTTTCAGGGAGAAATATTTTGTTGATGTATTAAATTTAAAATGAAAATCTCTGACTGTGACTGGTTTTAGATATTTCTACTTTGCTTAGGTCATCAAAATAAAATAGGCATTACTCTTCCAGCTGTTGGAAAACTTAGCCTTGTCTGTGATTTGGTCCCGTGCTCTGAAATGTGGTTCCCAGTACTAGGCACCTCTAGGTGGGGTTGTTTTTTTGTCTTTCCTTTCCATTTTTCATTGTTTTCACTTTGAATTCTGGTTTGGGGAGCGAGGTTATTTCCTTTTTTTTTTTTTTTTTTTCCTGCAATGAGTGACAAAATTCTTTTTGCTTTTTTTTTTTTTTTCATGAAAGCTGTCAGTCATCTGAACCCTTGCTATTTCAGCACCAGATGTGTTAATAATATTTTCTAAAGACATTAAATTAAATGATTAGAGTTGGCCACCTGGCCTTTCCTACAGCATTCTGCAGTTTGACTACTCCAGCTTGACTCAGACATCATTTTGACTTAGTGAAACATCAAAAAAATATGGGGGCGTTAAAGAGGAGGAGGAGAGGTCTCCACAATTTAGAGAACTTAATTTATTTAGGGAGAGTAGGGGGCTATCATCATATCTTTGTTTAAATGTATTATTCTTAAGACTCCTTAGAAGTTGTGATTTAAGGCATTCTACTCTGGTTTGAGTTTTTCAATGCTAGACAAATCTACTTTAAGAAGCACAGCAGCAGAACAAAATAGTGAATTAGATCAATTTAAGTTCTGTTTGCTGAAGTAAACATCTCCTAAGGGAAAGAATGAAAAGATTGTTTGCTAAAGTTGCACGTCTCACTTGTTTTTAGTAGCTATGGTGCCAAACATTTGACTCCTGCATGCAGAGGAGAGGAGAGCACTTGGCCACAATGGAGGAGCAAAGCTGAATGATGGACCCTGTCCACCTGGTGGCTCGAGGCAGAGGAAACATATAGTGACATATAATGACCATTGATTATCACCCTGATGTTGGTCCATCCTGTGTGTGTGCCTGCACGTATACCTCGACTGGCAGTCCCAAGGCAAAGTAGTCACTTGGAAATCCACTTGTGCTTCAGCTCTAAGGAAGTTCAACGAGAGAATAGCTTTGCTCAATTAGCAACCTTCCTATTCTTAGGGTTTTCCCTCACTTAAAAAGGGTTTCTCCCATGGGAATGACAGAACAAAGGTAAGGTAGAAATTATGAAGTTAAACACGGGAGAATTGAAGAGACTAATCTGAAAAACATCTTCTACAGAGAGAAAAGCACCTTGTAATGAACATTAGTCATGTATACAGAAATGAAAACAAATGTGAAGAAATATTTCATTGTTTATCGTCACTGCAAGGAAAAATATTTTTACTTCATTAGGGCATTATCAAGATTTTAAATACCATATCCACTTCTTTCTAAACTGTTCTCTTCTGTTGAAAGCTATGTTAAACCTCTTCCTAATAACTCTTGTGATTAGCATCTTTGTAGAAATCCCAGAGGACAGGCTTCTAAAAGTGGCATTATATTTCTAGAGCCTCCCTGTAATTAAGCATCTATCAGGCCTTCTATTCAGCTGCATATGACTGCTCACAAGAAAATCTTTCTTTGCTGGAATGAAAAGAGCTGTTTTGTTTAAACTTAGTGAAAGGATCACATTTATGTTATAAAATATAAGAATATTAGATTCAGTTTAACTGAAACAAAATGTACCCATTGCGTACTAGATACAAAAATTCTGTAAGTGAATTGCAATGGCAGTGACAAGTTGCTCTTAGAGACCTGCTGGGATGCAATGATGCAAAAACCTCTGTTAGAGCTCCACCAGAGGGGTCATCTCTTTGAAAAACATTGTTGAATTCAGTATAAGGATTATTAAATATCACCAGATGTGAGTAATATTTGCCCAAGTTTCTACAATAATTTCTTTAGTCTCTGTAGCCACAAGAATATGAAACACATACTCTTTTGGCTTTGATAGCATCAAAAGAAAAAGCAAACGTTTAACAGTGGGTACAATTCCTAGCGAAACACGTAGTCCTAGGGATTCAATATCCTTTTCATTCTCTGGAGTGCTTAAATCAAAATTGAACATTGTTTCATAAAGCATGCTCTTGCTATGTTTTTATTATTTATGATTTCATTTTATATCTGAGTGTGTGGAGTTCTCCCAGGAAGGCAAGCACATGAGTCCTGTCAGTAACCTCAGGTATTGAAGTATTGGTAACTTCCTATATAACTCCCCATTCTAAGACTCTTGTTGCCTACTTGGGTCCTATAGCCATGGACAAGAAATGTGTTTTATTACACTCTTTGGAGAATTATCATGCATAGATGAAACTACTTTGCTTATTGGTGTGCTTACACAATGCCATCTCCATTAGAGCCCTTCTCAAATGGAGAGAAAGGGAGGAACTTCATTAGATTGTGGTACCAAATGGTTACAAAGGTGAGATTACACATCTTTGACAGTGTTGAAAAGAAAATTTACTTCAGAATAAAGTGGGAATGAAAAAGATCACATCACTACTAGGGGATCTTTTCATCCCCTAGTATGATATGAGACAACCTGAGCAAGTCCTATGAGGAGCGGCTGAAGGAGCTGGGCTTGTTCAGCCTAGAGAAAAGGAGGCTCAGGGGTGACCTTGTCACTCTGTATAAGTATATTAAAGGAGGCTCTAGCGAGATGGGGGTTGGCCTGTTCTCCCATGTGCCTGGTGACAGGACGAGGGGGAATGGGCTAAAGTTGCGCCAGGGGAGTTTTAGGTTAGATGTTAGGAAGAATTTCTTTACTGAAAGGGTTGTTAGACATTGGAACAGGCTGCCCAGGGAGGTGGTTGAGTCACCATCCCTGGAAGTCTTCAAAAGACGTTTAGATGTAGAACTTAGGGATATGGTTTAGTGGGGACTGTTAGTGTTAGGTCAGAGGTTGGACTCGATGATCTTGAGGTCTCTTCCAACCTAGAGATTCTGTGATTCTGTGATTCTGTGAACAAATACCTTTTATAGGATGCTGTTAAAATACACAGCAGTGTGACTTCACATTTTGAGCTATTTCTATTGACTTGAAAGCCATGCTCACTCTGGTGTTTCATTTAACATTCTAATAACTCAATAGATTGAAGGATTTAATTAGATGCTTTTATTTATATTTCAAGTTGATGAAAATCAATGGTCTTCTCATTTACCTTCACACCTAGCCCAAAGATGAATCTACACTTCCAGGCTACAGCAAAGAATAACAATACCAGCTGAGAGAGTAACTGAACCTGCTGGAAGACAGATGTATTTCAATCTCCCCTTAAAAAAGGTATTCAGCATCTCTGCTATCTTTGTTAATCAGAACAGTCTTCACAAGACACAGTCCTTTAAAATGTATTTGAGAATATGTATCTCAAATTATAAAATGTACTGTCCCATTTGTTCAAGGCTTGCTGATGCCACTGAAAGCTTCTCTATTGAATTCAATGGCTTTGGGTTGGTCCATACGACTCCTTTTATTTAGGTTTCCCTTTTCAGAAGAAAATAGTGTAGTACATGTCATATTATGCATTCTATGTTGTTCCCTGTAATAGAAAAATAGAAAAAAAAAAGTGAAAAAAATAAACAAATAGCTTTTATTTAATTGAAAGTTTGTTGTTGTTGTTGTTGTTTTGAACAGGTTACAATGAAGAACATGAGATAAATAATGTCCACATCCCAACTAATCTCAAGTCTTTACTCAGTTACAACATCTTGGCACAGGTCTTTCACATCTGTTATACCATTACACTGGAGTTTCAGTAAGAATTACTGTTTTAAAAAAATTGAGATCAGTCTCCTAACAATCTCAAGTTATATTTGGCACCACCCCATTTAATTAATGCATATACATTTATCCATGAATTTCAAAGCTTTTTTTAAATGTATGTAGTATTGATATTTACATTTTCTCAGCAGTATTGATATTTATGTTTTCTTAGTAGTGTACAATCTCTCTCTCCCCCCCCTCCCCCAAGTCCCCAGTGCCCACTATTTTTCTTTATTGGAAATGTTCATTCTGGTAAAGTATTAAGATAAAATCTACAGACAGTTTACTTTTAAAAGTCCGTGGCAGAACATTGCTTTAATCATCAAGGGAGAGAGTACTTAAGGACAAAACTCAACAGCAGGATCCCAGATGTCAATGTATAGTGCACTCTTTGGGACAAATTTATTTCTCCAGAGCTTAAACCTGTAAAGACATAAGCATAAAAAATCTCTGACATAAGTAAATGTCTGTCCAAATATGTATTTCTATGCAGTCTAGCATAACAGTATACTTTGTTAAACTTTCAAAATGAAACATTATCCACAAAGGTTATTTCTATTTATTCATTTTCAAGTTGCAGCAGCAATCCCAGGGAGTACGGTTTTGAATCATGTTCTCAGTCTCTACATGAATAGCTGCTTTCAGGAGGGTTTTGGTTAGTTTGTTACAAAACTGTGCTGCATTTTGCATGGATAATAAGGTATTCATGCAAGCAGAGACCAGACCCTGGGTACCCACACCTCAGCCATGGAGCAGAGCTGAGAGGCTCTGTCTTGGCATATGCAGCAGCTCCAGATCTGATTAAAATTTGTGGTGAATCTGAAAGCTGCAGGTTTAACTTCAGCTAGAAAGCTTATTTCTCTGTCCTTCCCAAAGCATTCCAGGCCAGGGCTCATGGAGACGTACATTAAAGATTAAGATCACACATGGGTGTTGGGAAATTGTTTCTCCACTAATGAACATGATAAAACCAGAGACTAATCTATTTTCATCCAGTATTACAAAGCAATGAGAGGGAAGTCAGTACGGTAACAAAACGTCTGTTAATCCTTTGTACTTAGAGGCACACGCATTTCTTATTATGCAATAATATTCAGAGAAGGATAAAAATTCTCACATACTTGATATTTTTGGAATCCTAATTTCCTCACTGCTGCTGCCATCCCCACCGTCACTGACTGTTCTTATTTCGATGAGATAATCTTCTTCAAATGGCACCAGAAGTTCAGCTGAAGTGTTGTTTGTCTCCAGTATATGAGTTTTGCTGTGTCTGTTTTGTCTGTACAAAATCTAAATAAAAAGGGGTTAGGAAACAAGAATTACCTCATTTATTTAAGTTTTAATGGATTTTTTTAAATGGCTGAGAATACTTTCTGACATGTCCCAAACTTTTCAGAATTCTATCAGCACCCTGCAGAGTATTAAATACCATTAGAAAAACATTTTTACAAGTTGAAGAAAGGACAGAAATTTGGATAGTAGCACCTGGGTTTCCACTTAGGAAGCACATTTCTGCAACTAAATTTGAGGGATTCAGGAACTGCTTGTGTATGGGTCTTTTCACTAAAGTATCTCTGGGCCATGGTGCGGACTGGCCACCCTGGCCCCATGCCCAAGTGCTCTGGGGAGTCTGGGTGGGGATCCTGCAGGCTACGGCTTTGTCCTCCAAGAAGCCTTTCTTCCTTGCTAGCAATCTCGTGAAAACAAACTTTTAATATATTTATGCTAAAAAGAGCAACTGAAGAGCAAAGCAGAAAGAGAGTTAACAGGGATCATACAATAAATACGCAGTGAGCACTTAAAGCACTCTTTCCACATCAAAATGTAATAGGAAAGTGTAGCCTGGAAGCAGGTATGTTAGACACAAAGGAAAAGAGCTTAATAGACTAGTTTTAATGTTTTTCCCAGTGTGTGGAGCTACTCAAGCACACTCACTAGAATCTAAAAGGATATGATCTCAAGAAAGATTGCAAGGTAGATTTTTTAATATTTTTTTTTCTGTCCTTTTCCTCCCTGGGCATAAATAACTCTGCATAGACACTAAAATGCTGAGCAATGCAAGGATCTTGATCCTAGGAACCTTTCCTCATGTAAGTGCTCTCCACAACCTTTTTACCATCCTTCATGAATAAAAAAGTCTTTCCTGAAGTCTGTCGGGGTCAGAAGCACTGCAAACAAACTTTAAACTAAATTTTACTTTCCTTAAAAAATGGATTTATAGAAGCGCTTTTTACTTCACTCACATTGATCTTTATGTGAGTGTCTTCCTATCTATTTTCAAAGATACATTTATGAATTGTCAGAGAGTGAGGACTTTCAAATGTATTTTATGCCTCTTTAATTCTTAAGAGACTGTTCTCTATTTCTTACAAATGTGTGAAGCTCTTGTCAAAAAGATGTGAATGCAAGAATCTGATACAAGTAAGATTACAAGGGAAATGGGACGAGTCCCAAAACTCCAGAAAAGTCACCTTTTTCCAGGTAATGAATAGTCACATTTCAACAAGTCACTTTTTGACCTTTTATTATAAACAATGTGCATGATTAATGAGATAAAGCAATGACTTACTTTGTAGCCTAACACTTCTGATTCATTCTCCATTGTTTTTACGTGCTCCCAGTTCAAGCAGATTTTGGAATTTGTCAGTTTCCAGGCGATATTTGCCGGGGGTTGACTCGGTGCTTTAAAAAACAGATGATGATAATCACAAGATACAACTAAATATTAATTTGCATAGTGTAATTGAATGAGCCGCTGACATGGAAGTAGCAAATGCATGGCTGATTCAAGTCTAAAAGAGTAAAAAATATTTTCCAGTCCATCATTGCTCTCATATTAGTCAGAATAAAGATCTATTCATAGCACAAAACCACTTACTGTGAGAGTTCATTTTGGAAATTAGGAAAAGCCTGACAATGTCTGACAGTTCAAGTTACATTTGATAGATTTTGCTTAAGCACTGTGTTGTTTCTATCTATATTGTAATGGACTAGAGAATGTTTTGCTGCATGGATTTCAGGGGAAAAAAAAAAAAAAAAAGCTAAAACTAAGAGCAGAATACAAAAGGCTATATTTTCATCAACCACGAGTGCAGGTTACAAAGAGTTACACATTAAAGTCTCCATGTGATCCATCATGAAACATTGCAGGATTTTATAAATTCTCAGCATAATAGGCCGCGAGTAGATTTTCAAAGGCTTTTTATGCCTAAGTGCCAGGACTTTGAAAATTTGCCTACAAGTGACAGAAATTGAATCCTGTGAGAACATGTGAAGTTGAAACTGTGCCTTTGAGCTAATGCTGTCTCATATTTAGAACAACACATTATCTCCATCTCCATGGTGTGTCCTACTGGACCCTGCCTGGGAGGACAGTGCTGGAGGTATTAAAGGAAATAGGGACTTGAATAGAATTAAGAAAAGACAGGAGATAGCTGGAGAAATAGGGCTTCTGGGTTGTGAGTATCCCAGACCTGACTTTAAAATGTTAAACTTCTGGGATACTTCATTTCTCCCTGCAGTTTCTATATATTGATGATTAGCATACATAGCTAAGAAGGCACTGTTGATTTGGTAATACAGCATAATCTATTTAATTTCCTACAGAGAGAGAATAAATTGATTGTGTCTCTTATATTTGTCTGCTTCCTGACTGTGAAGAAGCTTAATCCATCCTGCTGGTAGGGAAAGTTAGTTAGTGGGCCACCCAGGTGAACCTAAGCAGGTATCCTTCCAGGAGCCATAAGTCAGTGCTGGATAAATATTCATTTTTGAAGGTGTTTACATATATTCATATGCCTAAAACCACATATTTACTTTTTTTTTTTTTAAAAAAAAAAAAAAACTTCCTTGCTGCTTTCAGCAAATTTTCAGCCTTTTAACATAGCACTTAAAACCATCTTAATTCATAGACCTTGGGCTGAAAAACCACCACTGTGTGACTTCCTAAGCAAAATTATCTGGTTTTCCTCTACACACCAGGAGCCAGAATAGTCAGCAATGGATAGCATTTTTGGCCCTTGCCAACATAAATGATTCTATAAAGCAAAACACAGTGAACCATTCCTTAGATCTAAGATGACTGATCCTTTCCTCAACTAACTTATTAGAATCAACATTGTCAAGAACAATTCATAGAACAATTCAAAAGTATGTGTTTAAGTTTATTAATTTAATGAAGTTACTCTCATGTTGTAGGTGACACATTTTTTGTTGTTCTACTGAGCCTAAGTTTATACTTGTAACTTATTTCAAATTTCTTCTGTTGAGATATATATTTGTAAAGAAAAAGAAAAAGTGATGAAATCTCTGAAAACCATGACATATAAATAAAGAAACAGAAGAGCTGAGCCTCATGACTGTTTTTAGTGGGAGCAGTATGCTCAAGGAAGGAGGACATCATTTCTACTTTCCTAAGTAGTAAACTCAAACATGAATATCAACTTAGACCTTAAATTGATCTTAGACAAGTAAGCTTCAGTCAGAATTGCTCCTATTTGGCAGAAGGCCTATTTTAGTTTTGAGTTTTGCTTAGTCTTTACAATAATGCCATGTACAGAATGTTTTAGGAATCTTTGGCAATGAGTACAAAGACAGATCTATTAGCTTGAAGCTAAAGCTCCCACAGTAGATATACATTGTTTATATTCTCCTGATGTATTACCTCTTCCCATATTGAAAGTGCCTGCATCTTTCAGAAATGAGAGCTTAAAAATTTAATATATGTTTTAAAATATTAAATGGGTTATTTGGACTTTAATTTTTAAATGAACCATTAGCACCATCCTGAGTTTGACAGAAGATGAAGACAATGTAAAGCAAAAGCAAATTCATTCCCTATATGTCCTGTCTCTTGACTGCTGTGTCTTTATTTTTTCTGTCATACAAATATACATACAAATATAGAGAATGATTTCCAGAGATTAGTTCCTTTTCCATTAGAAAGTTGTCTGTGAGAAGAACTTAGGGCGTATGGGTACATAGCGGATTACCAGAATTTTCTATTTTATGATTATTTTGCTCTTGGTGAGCATTTACTTTACAGGTTCAATCATGTAGAACACTGCTCAGCACTTCCCTATTATCTTGGAGTATGGCCCCTTGAAAGCATAGGTTTCGTGAAGTTGTTTCTCACGAGTAGAGTTTTTACTTCTAATTGCAGGAAATTTAAACAATTACTGACTAAATAATATTTATAAATAAATAATATTTATTTATAATATTATAATATTATAAACCTTCCTAATGGTCGCTACACTGGAGGAACACAAATACCTCTGTTATCCAGTTTTGCAAGCGTAGAGAATTACCTTAGCACATACACATAACAAACCTAGAACCTCTCCTATGAAGACAGGCTGAGGGGGTTGGGGTTGTTCAGTCTGGAGAAGAGATGGCTCTGGAGAGACCCTACAGTGGCATTCCAGTATCTAGAGGGGGCTCACAGTCCGAGTAAACTCAGTGGTGACCACAAAATTGTTATCAGGGAAGAGAAGAAGTTTCCTAGTCACAAATTTCATTGCTTCATTTGATGAAGAAATTTGGGATCCCATTGATATTGCAACATTTAGCAGAGCTAGTCACGGTAAGCTGAAATGTCACCATCCCACCAGGGAGCTTGCAACATTTGTTGTACAAAATTGAATACTCACGTGACTTTTTAGTAGTGACATTTACTGGGGTGCTGGAGGGCCCTGTCCCTGCTGTGTTGTAAGCCCGAACTGTTGCAAAATACACCGTGTTAGCCTTTAGTCCTGTGATATTTTTGGCTGTTACATTCCCATTGACTCTGACTTTACCAGCTGTGCTTTCCTTGGGATCATCGGTCCAATATAAAACCTGAAAAGCCAAAACAAAGAAAAGGCAATTAATTGTTTTAAATCAATTAAGGAATTGGCTGGGAAGCAGACAAACTGATAATGAAGATTTCAAGGAATACAGGATTTTTCATATTCAAAACTCGCAGGAAAGAAAACCAAGCATGAATATTTATAGAGAAGAAATAAAATTTGAGAGACAGAATACCAATTAAGAAAGCAAATCAAATCCTTAGCTTTATAGATGTCCAAAAGGAAAACTTTGATAACGTGAGAAATTTTAAAAGCTTGCTTGGTTTTATGGTTAGAACATTCATGAAAAAAATCTTAAATGATACAAAGAATTATTTATCTCAATCATCTAAGAGGATTTTAATTATTTTGTATCCTGCTTCTAATTTTGACTTTTAGCATTTGATTTTGGAAGGTTTGTGTGTTGTATGTGTCTCCTACTACCTTGCTTTAGACATTTGTAATGAAAGCACAGAAATTAAAGTATTTCTGACTTGGTTTACCCTTGCTTTATTTTATCTACAGAAAATTCACTGTGCAAATAAAATGCCCAGGAATCATATTTGAGATTACTTTGAAGTACTCCAGCTAGAAATATAAAACCTTCACCACATCCCCATGCCCCGAAGGCACTGCTGCTCTGTCCTGGGGATGTCAGAGGCAGCTGACACTGGGGCTCTGCTCCCACCCTGTGCTGGAGACCTGAGAGAAGCCAGAAGCAGGGTGAGTGCCACTGGGGTCTGGCAGCATCCACATGCCCCTGCAGCTCCCTTGTCTCAGCCCCTGAAATGCCTGTCGCTGGATCTGGCCCTGGGCTCATGCCATTATGCCGGCGGCATACCCCAGTGCACAGGGCAAGCAGCCTGTCACTTACTAGTACATGAGCAGCTGCTCACTATGAACAGAATTGAGAAGCCCAAAGCCTTTCAAATATGCCACAGCAGAAGCTTTGGATGGTAATGATGTGCATGTTCTTCTGTAAGTGTTGCTGTGGGTCATGTGCGTGTCCCCTAAAGATCAACTGCCCCATTGCGCTCAGACAGCTGTCTGAGGAGGGAGGATCACCTTTGTTTTATGGAATCAAGCACAAGTCCTTTTATTGTGGCCTTCACATATGATTAATCTTGAAGTTTTAATTTACATTACAAAAAAAGCTGGGATAGAACTATAGTCTGGGTCTACAAATGCTTGTGATTAGGTGAAATGTTGCTAATGAGAGTCAGGTGAAGAGCTCCATTAACAGCTGACTTGGCAGTGAGGGAAGAGGAATCAGAATATGAAAGTGGCTGGGGATGGGATGTCTGTAAGGTGCCCAGCACCAGCTGCCTTACCTCGTAGCCTAACACCCTGCCCGTGAGCCTGTTCCATGCAATGGGCTGCCAGGAGACCTCCACCTCTGCTGCCGAAATGCTCAGTGCCGAAGTCCCTGCTGGTGCTATCTGTGGTTCTGGGTCATGGGAGAAAACACAGCCAGCAGAAAATTTGTGGTATTAAAAGGGTGTTGTCTCAGAAACTTAAAGAGATTCAAGAAAAAAAGACAAGTTTTTTGGTGGAAGCATCAGGCAGCAGCTCAAGAACCCTGGTGTGAATCCCTAGCTTTGCTGCCTGTTTACCGTGGACCACCAGCAAAATTGTAATTTTTCAAAATCGATCACAACCTGTGATCTGGGACAGATATTTAGAGGAGGTCAGCTGCACGGAGTGATCTGAGTCCTCTAACGGGTAAACTGTTTTCGATGTCCCCTGTTTTTTCCCAGCCCACTCAGTGGGAGCTCCCTGGGGACAAGTCTGTTGAAACATGCCATCTACTTAAAGCAGTTATGAAAAACTGTCCCTTGCTTTTGTTCACTTCATTTTCCCATCCTCTGTCTTGTGTCTCTTGAAAACCTGTAATAAGCAGCTTTGAGCTAACTTCTGGCTATCCCTATAGAGATCTGAATTATCATACCTGGGACCTATGGACTCTACACAGTCAGCAATAGGAGTAATGTGCTTTACCATCTTCTCCTGAGTAGACAATGGATATGGAGCTCAGGGTCCCTTCTCCTTCATTGTTGTAGACACCAACTTTCACTTCAAAAGGAGACAGAGGTGTAATGCTTTCATTCCTATAAATGTATTTGCTTGCTTCTACTGAAGCCACCACTGCTTTTGTCCAGGTTGTTGAGCCAAGGGGACGAAACATAATGATGTAGCCAAAACCTTCCCCATTCTGCAGTTCTTCTGGAACTGGCTGTAGTGACAAGGCAGTCAGTCAATAAGCATTTGCAAGTATACACTCTTTTAATTGAATCTTCATTCTCTCAGTATATTTTAGTAGTATTGATTCAGTTGACTGTGCCTTAGAGAAGATAATAATGTTTGTTCCATCAGTCAATGTAATATTGAAATAAAAATCAAAATAATAAATCTATTGAGGCAATCAATTTAGAAACAAAAGATCTGATCAGCTCCATTAAAGTTATTCTCTTCCAGGCATGAAGTTTTCAAAATTAAAAGCATTTCACTCAGCACAGGTTGTAACTGATTTTTTTTTTCCCCCCAAGGGGTGTAGGAATGCTAATTTTAAAGAAATTATTTTAAAAGAAAGAAGGAGTTGGAAAAGGAGCAAAAGTGTATATATAGAAGTACATGTCAGCTGTATAATTGCCTGTGTATGTGTACAGCACTTACATATTTTTTAGCACAAGTGAGAGTCTTGAGTGCATGAACATTTTCTTATTTAAGTTTGTTTAGTACAGAAATGTTATTGCAAGTCAACATGGCAAAATTAAGGCTTCTATTAATAAAATCTCATGTCAAGATATTTATTAATGACTCATACCGAACAGGCAATTACATCAACACTATAGGTTTTTTTCTTGGGAAAAACAACACTTCTATGTTGGTTTCTCAAAGCAAGAGAACATTTGTGAAATAAGAAAAGATTAGTAGTACATAGAAAAAGGAAGCTTTTATCAGCAAAACTTCATTTATATTAGATGTTTGCATCAAAGCCAGGTGCAAGGAAAAACAGCTATGAAAAATGGCGCAGAAATAGAGGGAAAATCAAAGGGGCTGAACTGCAGCTCCCGCAATGGTTCCTGGCTCCAAACTTCTCCCCTGTAGAGAAACTATCAGGAGCACTAACAGTCTGAGAAGGTGGGAGGTAAAAAAATGAAAAATAAATCAAGGAATACATCAGCAGATTTCAGGGCACTGAATGTATTCTTCCTTTCATAAATTCCTTCTAATTTATTAGTAAGATATTTGTCAAATTATAACTCTGATCTGACATATATAACAAATGTTGTCATTCTCTAAGTATTTTACAAACATTAATTCCCCAATCTACCCAATCTTTTTCTTATCCAGTCCCGAGAGATTTAAGTGTGAGAGATGAGGGTGCATCGGGGATTTATAAGAGTTCAAGCTACTTTCTAGAGCATTTAATTTGTTTTTGAGGCTTCTGTGACCTCAGATTTAATCAAGATGTTTAGTGAGTTCATCACAGAGAGCTGGAGAGCCTAGTTCAGTGTTGTTAGCCTGGCATAATTAGTATTTCTTCTGACTATTTTTCAGGACACACTATGAAGTCCAACAGGATAATTTGATTGAGATCTCTCAGGTTGTTTTTCAATTTTCATGTTCTGCTCCCAAAGAGTAGATCAGTAGAGGAGAAAATAAAAGAAAACAGTGAAAGATGCATATGGAGGAAAATTCAGTTCAGTAAAAGTGAAGTTTCACTCTATTTGGAGCATGCAAGGGGAAAAGCATTGGCAGTATTATTTATCTTGTGGGGACTTTTCCTTTTGATCTCATTTTTTTCTGTCACTTCCCTTCCTCCCTCAAAAGGTTGGTTAAATGGCAAAGTTATCAGCATACAGGACAACACAGGTAACTCACTTAGCTGATAAATAACATTACTTGTAGTTTAAATTAATTTCTTTTCCTTTCTTTTAAACCATGTACAGAAGTTTGGCTATTCCTCTGGAAAAAGAATGAAGTCAGGGGAAAGAGCAGACTGCTTTCCTTGCGTAAGCTGAACTAGAAGTATTTTTTTATCATTATTATTTAATCAAATAAATATTTTCCATGACTTATGAATGGACCACTGTGCTTCTGAAGCCCTGGTCCAAATTAAGAATTAACCAGAGATTGTCTGCAGGCTCTGAGACATTCACACCTGTCCATAGGATGGGTAAGGCTGTCAGATGGGTGATGCTGACAGCCTGGGACAGCTCCTGCTGCAGACAGTTGTCTTCAGAGCCAGGTGAGATGTTTACCTACGTGAACCACATGCGTTTTTCAGCAGCAATGAAAAAAAAAAAAAAAAAACAAACAAACATTTTTTCCACTGTCCTGCACAGGTGGACACTGTGTTTTGGTCAGTTTTTCCACAGGGGCTGGAGCAGCTGCCCATCACTGCAGAGGCTTTGCACGAGGCCGCCTGCCTTTGTCGTGGTGCCTGCAGAGATACGGGTGGGTAGCTGGAGAAGGAAGGCTACTTCTCACCACGCTTGCTTTCTGCTCTCTGCAGTGACCCGTGCTCACTCATTGCAACTTCTAGTGTGGTATTAATAGTTCTGAAATTGCGTATTCTCTCCTCTTGCTGGAGTGTTGGAGAATTAAAGGGCTCATCTCCTTTAATGCATAATAGGATATGTCTTGTCAGCACAGAGTTCCAGAATGAAAAACATGTAAACAAAAGTATGAAAAATGTTAATGCAGAAAATGGCCAAGCAGATTAGTGTGTTAAGCACATCCTGTACAATGGAGATAAGAGGGTTATACAGACTTCTAAACATCTTTATAACATGCCTCTTAAACTGTTTATTTTTATAAATGGTTTGCTATGACACAGAAAACTTGCTGTGCATCTTACAGACTGCTTTCTCTCCAGATGCAGGATGAAATCCCGGCTCAGCCTGAGCCAGTGACTGAAAGCCTCTGGATTTCAGCAGGGCTGTGATTTCACCCATAGACTTTTCCCCACTAAAGAGCTTAGGTTAATTGAGCTAACAATTACCTCCCATGTGATGACCAGCTCAGAACGGCTCCCTCCTCCTCCACTGATGTTCGTTGGTGCCACCACGGGAACTGGAGAACAAGAGACATCGGTGCCTGCAGCAACCCCCTGCTGCTGCCAGGGGCCTCGTCCACTGCAAGATTAAAGGGTTTCCTCCCAGCTCCTCTCACATGCAGCTACTCTGCCTTTCAACACGTAGAACAGGGACTATATTATATAACGGTGCATTTTAAATGAACTGAAATTATGTTTACACATTTTCAAGTTTCTAAGGCTGAAGCCACAGATGTATTTGATACATGAGTACCCTGGTTCAAAAAATTAATTAAAGAAGCTAGTAGCATCAAGTATCTGACATTATTATGCCTCATCAACTAATTGGCAAAATGATGTTCCATTCAGACTGTAGCTGCAACACTACTGATTTACTAATTATGCATTTGTTCAGTAAACATGTTGTTGGAGCAATATATTAATTTTTTTTAATTGGCTGTATGCTTTGCTTAGGAAATTCAAAACTTGTAATTTTTCTCCTTCTCCCAAGACTCTAAGTGGCCAGGAGTGCATTGATTAGAACCTGATTTCCCCAGCATTGCTCCAGGTGTATGGCCCCATAGGTCCATGGTCAAGGTCAAATAACATGCCAGTGTTGCAAGCTGAAGGGGTTTCTCATCTGTCAAATGGCTCTTGGTGGAGACGCAAGGAAAATAGCAGTATTTCTTGCTTTTTGCTCCATATTTCAGTAAACACGGTCACCCCATTAGCCTATAAATATTTATACTTTTGGGGAAATGGGTTGTGGTATAATGGGTGGGATTTAAAGAAGTTTTATTCCTATTATATAATATTCTATAAATTTACTTGCAAGGATGATGTCATTTTTTTTTTTTTTCCTGTTACTGCAGGGACATGAACAAATAACGAAGACAATTCTCTAACTTACAGAGCCCAAAAATATATATGAGGGCATTTGTTCTCTTTGCCATCTCCAAACATTTGCTACTATTTCTCCAAGTTTGAAGATTGGACAGGACAGTTATATCTCAGAAGTTTTTTCAGAGATTTTGGCAAGTTTTGCCATGACTGCCTGCCCTTCCCCATATTTTTCTCCCAGTGTTGGTACAGCTGCAGGAGTAACAATAAAGGCAACAGCCCTCCATGCTCACAGAAACTTATGTGAATCAGCTGTCACTTCTACATTCAAACTCACATTTAAATCTTTATCTAACTGCATTCTCTCTAGAAACGTAGAAATTTAAAGATAATTTTGTTTTGCAGTGAGGAAAGTAAATGCAAGTAAAAATAGACTAAGCCTTTTTTTTTTTTTTTGAGAGAGAGAGAGAGAGAGAGAGTTTAAGTATTTAGTTTTGTAACTCACAATCCATGTCTTTGTGCACATCAGAGGTAAATAATCGAAGACTGGAAAGAACATTAAAGAAATAAAAAATAACAAAGCAGATTTTCAAGCCTACTACTTCACTCTTTCATGAACCAGTTGATGCTCAATTAGTTCATGTGTTAAATGTGTTCAGTACTTAATATGTTTGCATAGGAAAAAAAATTGTCCTACTGCTCAGCAGAGCCTCATCCAGGTCATAGTTGAGAAACAGACAAAAATTTACAGTTGACTGCACCAACAGAGGCTCAATTAATTCTCAGCTCTATTTTAATGAAATGAACAGTGGCTCATTTGCATCCGCAAATCTACTAATGCTCAGATTTTAGCTGGCAAAATAGCTATTAAAACAGCTAAGTTCACATTCACCCTTCACTGCCAGTCTTTGCTCTCCTCACTTCAATGCTGCATCCAGTTTCCTATCCTGATAAAAACTAAAGACAAGCCTTTATTCCTCCCACCACATAGCAGTGCTTTGAAGCAGAATGACTGACAGCAGTGAAGGGGTTAAGTTACTAAAACCTAACGTCAGTTTTTCTGTTTGTTTTGGTGAACAAAAATTGGGCAGAACTGTAAGGAAATAATGTTCCTTATGCTATTGCCATGGTAAATATTATTAATTTTATTGTTTCTTTCTAGCTGTAGCCTTGTGAATCCCCCCAATACTGTATTTTGAGTTCTGTTTTGAAATGTAGTTTGCCAAACTTCAGAGCATGGCAAATGAGATAAAAGGAGAGGAGAAAGTGGACTGTAAAACCTGCTTCCCTTTCAGTGCCTTCCATCCTATAACTGCTTATTTTATAGGGGGGAGAGAGTTGATGAACAGGGGGCTGAGAGAAACATAAAAACAAAGCAAAGGTTTGGACTTCAAATAAATTGTACCAAACAGATAAGGTCAAAGGACTGACAGTGTTGGTCATCCAAGAATGAGCCTTCTTCCCATGAGGTTCCAAGTCCCGGAAGATAAATGTGTAAAGGTTAGACAGACTGATAGCAAGGATCCTGTCCTGGAGTCAGTGGAAGCTATTAGCTTCACTGGGCTTTGGATGTTGTAATTTATTTCCTCCAGTTAAAGCCAATATCCTGTCCCTACCAACGCTCAGATATCAAACAACCTCTGCAGCAAAGCTTTATGTGCTTGTGCTAGGAAATGCCAGAGAGCTGGCTTTATCATTTTCTATTCAAGTCCTGGAGCAGTATATAAATGTAGTTATAATTGGAAGAAAACAAAAGTTGCTCCACAATTGCTTGAATGAAAGTTTGTGTTCAGGCATGAGGATTTTTGGGGATGTAAAAAAGTATGGGCCAGCTCCAGCCTTTATTGCTGGCCCAGGTGATCTTGAACTGGAGAGAAAAGCATGGGGTAATTCTAAGTCATGTTCAAGCATTCCTCACATCAAGTACTGCAGGTGTGCTGTCAAGAAGACATAGGAGCCATACGTTACAATGCCAGGCAAATATAGAAGCAACCCTGCAAGAGAGAGACTCTTCTGCCACAGACCTCTCACACTGGAGAACTGGCTGTGTGTTTGTGTAGAAAAAATAATAAATTAGGAGAAACCAGGGACCTACCTGCTGCTTTGGTTTTCAGTAGAGTTGATGGTCTGCTTGGCTCCCCGATTCCAACGCTGTTACTGGCAACCACACGAAACTCATACTCAACCCAAGGGCTTAAGTCAACCACTGTTGCTTTGTGAGTCCTGCCATTAAGGACTTCAGGAACTACAAGTAAAATTAATATGTCAATGAAAATGTATTTTTGGATTAATTAATGGTATATGAGAACAATACAAGACAACTCTCAAATTGCTCACCTGTCGGAACTGACTGCCATCCGACTGAGAAAGGAGTCCTTGTCTGGACACTGTAGATCTGGACTGGACTATTATTATCTATTCCAGACTTCCAGGATAACACAGCAGTAGTACTAGAAATATGTTCAACTTTAACATCTTCTGGTGGGCCTGGGGGGCCTAATTCAAAAATAATTTTAAGACAAATGTATTAAAAAAAAAAAAAAAAGACTGATGGACTGAGTTGTGCAGCTCTTACTCAAGGCACTGGCATTACTCATGAGGGTGCATTTTCATAAAATTAGCACAATCTCTAAATAATGGCTTCACGTATGTATTCAATTTTTTAATTAATAAGGGGTTTTAAGTCAGAAAAATGAATGTTTTCATGTTACCAATAAGAAAAATACAAATAAATTATAGATATAATAATAATAATTTATATATAGAGAGAGACTGACAAAGAAAGTTTCCCAGTGTGTCTTTCATTGAACCATACAACATCTATAGAGTTCCTATGAAATTTAATGAAAAACAAGGAACAAACATTCAACAAAAATGCAAGATGGTGCTTTAGACAGATTTCTGATATCTGTTAGGGGTAACAGGATCTGCTCCCATCACAGCATTTCTCTTGCTGCTGGCAGTAAAAGGATTAGCTAAAACCTCAATCTTATCACTTTGTTGATCTAGAAAATGATCTTTCATATTATCTCCAAAGAATGGAAAGGGGTCTGTTCTTTTGATTTTTCCAGCCTGCACTGTGACCCGGAGATGCCCAGCAATGGTAGGTGACACCATTCTGTTGAAAGAGGCCTTCCCCATGTCCTACCATGTTGAACTCCAAGGCAAGAAAAGCTTACCTTCGAAAAAGGCTATGGCACAATTGTACAGATCTCCCATGGTGTTACTGAAATGTTGCATCGCCATCCTAGGACTTTTTAAACAACAACTGATGTAAAGAAATACTAATTCCTTCAGGGGATATAAAATCTACATTAGGAGACATACCTCTTACAATTATATCTACTGCTGCAGATTGACTGTCTAAAGTTGTTTGTACCATGCACACATATTTCCCAGAATGATGTAGCTGAATATTTCTTATCATCAAATCCCCAACAGATTCCTGGAGATGCAAAGAAAGTAAACTAATCACTCACAACATGCTTTCCATACTGGACATTTTTATAAATTGCTCAATATTAATAAAAAATTCAGCTTTTAAATTAAAATATTCATAGCTATCATCAGTTTCTTTCATGCGGACATTTTTATTATGGCTTCACAAATAACTCAAGTGACTTTATGAAATTTAAGAAAGAAAAATAAATGGCTGCAGCCCTTGTAAAGAAACAATGATTTGCCATGCATATCAATAGCGATGGAAGAATTATGAAAAATGCTTACGTGGTCTAAAGACTGTGGCAAGTAGTTTCATTAAGCACTAAAGAGTTTTAAAAACTTACCCCTCCAATTCTTTCAAAATGATGCATTCCTCTTTTAAAATCAATATTATTTCCATTGAATGACCATGTGAACACCACATGAAGGGAAGGGTCATGAGACACCTGGCATGGAAGGACTATGCTTTCTCCAACTGTTACATCCATATTAGAAGGTGGAATAGTAATTACAGTCTTTTCTGTGGAGACAAAAAAAAATCCTTTTTATTAAAATGCTTATAAAAATAGTAGATCTTGAATGAGTTTTGTGCCATTTGTGAAATGATGTAAAATTGGCCCAAATGTTCCATAATAAAGAAGATTATCTCTAATATGATGATGATTTGAGAACACTCTTACCCATGTGTAGCCTATTACTTTTGCAGTATCAATACAATGAGCACTCTGTGTGCTCTGAGAGCAAGCAGATGTCAGAGGCAACATGCTAAATTAGTCATATGTTACTTTGTAAAACCCACAGTCGATAGATATGATTTTGGCTTTAAAAGTGCAGAATTCATTAGTAAGACTGTTAGAAATATGCCCACAGTTCTTCAGACTTGAAAATCCCTCCTTGCAGGAAACTGCAGCAAACGCAAAATCAGTATCAGTCTCTGTGTACTATATGCATTGAGATCCTTAATCTATATTAATGTTAGCTGTACCTCACTGTGGTGTTTACATTACAGCTTCAGAGAAAATACCACAACAGACAGAAAAACTATCTGTGTAATCTTTTTTAACCCCTTACACTGGGAAACAAAGTTGCAGATCTTATTAAGGGAACTAGTAGTTTGCTGAAGGGGAAAGAAATGGATTTATATGACTTCACTTTTGTTGTTATGACTGGCAGATAGATTAGAGATAACAACCACTTTGTTGTAAGCAATTCCCTTGAATAAAGCTTTTGTGCATGAAAGTGTTATAAAATGGTGAGAACTGAGAGGCATATGAATAAAATGAGAGCAGAATCTATTCAACAATATTAATGCGTTCTGAAAATAATGTGAGAGGAGGAGAAGAAAATTTGCAGGAGTTGTATTAGTTTTGTGTTCATTCTGGCTTAACCCTGCGTGTTAGAAATCTATTTGAAAATTCAGGATTTTGGTTACCAAGGTTATGGTTCCAAAATGTTCGTGCATGACAGTGCATCCAACGCCTCACCTTCAAAGACATTTTTGTTCAAACTGTTACCATCATTGTGGTAACTGATTAATATACATGTATACACAGGCAATAACCTGACCAGCTTCTTCCTGGCATCTGAGCTATGCTAGGTCAGTGATTGTTATAGCACTGGTCAAGTAGCAACAAGTTAGAATGTTACATTTTCTGACAGCATTTTAAAAAGTTATAAAAAAAATAAATAAAAAATACTGGTTTCAGTGTTATACCTGCTGCAGACATCATGTACCATTATCCAAGGAAAGTGAACAAAGAGTTTGTGTGATTTCTATTGTTATAGGTACATAAAGTGTGGGTTTTTTTTTTTAGTTTTTATTTTATTTATTTATTTATTTATTATTTATTTTCTTGTTCCAGAATCATTAAGAAGCTGTCTGTCTAGAGAGAGCATCAGAGGTTCTAGAGCTCAGTCTTGGAACACTTTCTCAAATTTCTCTGTCTACTCTGATTGCTTCTCATGACTATGTAAAACTGTCATCATGGCAGCACCATCGGTTTGTCTGAAGTCAAGGACTGCAGAGATGTGAAGGACTCAGATGACTGTCTGGAAGATACTTGATCATTAAATTAAAGCAATCTCTTCTTCTCCCTGGAAGCAGAGTGTCACATACAATAAATTCCAGATGATTCAAGGGCCATATTCTCTGTTGGCACAACTCCACTGATTTCAGCACACATTGGCAAAGAGCTTGACTTCATAAATCTCAAGTGAAGTAATTCCATTGTGAAGAACAGGTAACTTTTATAGAATAAATGTTGAAAAGTATCTGGGAACTACAGAACACTTCTACAAAGTTTTCTTTTCTTACTCTTTTTTTCCTCCATTATTCTCACAACTGAAATAGATCAACATGAATAACATGATTCTATGAAATTATATTACTTGTAGCAATGATGGATTATTTATTTATTTTTTTTTTTTTGTAGAAAAATCCATTTATTTCTATGGAAAAGTTGAAGAAAAACTAAGCAAGAATGATACAATTAGGGTTGCACATCATTTGTAATCATATTCAATAGTTACATTCTGAAACCTATAGAATAAAAATAACAAATGATGTAAATTTTTTTAATTGTGAAGTTTTTAAGACTCTATCAGAGTCCATTGTCTGTTGTACGGGAAGGGGCCATTAGTTTCTTGTGATTAAACTGGTTGAGAATTTTTGGAGTTTTCTTCAACAGAAAGTTCCAATATTATTATGGTTGCCTCATAAGGTCAGTAATATTTTTGTGCCACTATTTGATCACACCTTCAAAGAGAGGATCAAGATCAGAAATAATAGAAATGATCAGAAATATAGATCAGAATAATAGAAAAGACAAGAAATAATAGAAATGCAATTCTGTTATGTAATGTTATTGGACAGATTAAAAATTCCAGAGATCATTTCTCTGTTAAAAACCTATTGAATGAGAACCTTAGTATAAATATTTTGTAGAAATGCATTCAATGGAACTCACTACTGAACTGATATTTTGGAATAACAGAACATAAAGGTTTCTTCTTCTAACATGACAAATCCTAATAATGACATGCTTCTAATTTCATAAGAACTGTATTTCCTTATTATTAGGAACTATTTGCCTCCACCAAATAAATGTTGAAGACTGATCTTTTGGGAATTATACTGAGTTTGTATGTGATGTGTGCTTTTTAGCAGTGTTAGAAAAAAAAATCCATTTTATTATGAGATTATCATCCTCTTGTATCTCCTGTTCTAGCCTACTCGTATCCAGTAATACTACTGATGCAGAGTGGTTCACTTGTGTGATAATTTCTGCTTCTTTTATGAAGTTGTCTTTAAGACTACTACCTCAAATACTTTTAAAAGCTTCTTAAAAGCTCTTGGATCTACATTATCTATCTATCTTGCTTAGCAACTTCAGACATGTATTATATGGCAAATCCCATTCCAGAGGAGAAAATAGATAAGATGTTGTGAGTGCTTGAGGTATAATAAAGACTTCTCACACAAAGAATAAACAACTCAATGAGCAGCAATAAACTTAATTTGCACATTAGATATGCTTTTCGAAGTTCTGACATTTCAGTTGAAAATAATGCTGAAGCAATGAGGCCTATAATTGAACAGCCAAAACTTCTCCAGAGGGGAAACAAAAACAAATGTTCCCTGCAAACAAGATCATTTTTATACCATGTTGTTACTGAGTGTTTTAATAAACTTTGTAAATGCCAAACAAAATATTTTTTTCATTTTTTTTAATGTGATTTTCCCATATTGCTTCATTAGGATGTATATATGTGGTATGTGAAATGGTATCTAACTTTAATGAAGTCAGAGCTGCCTAAACCCTAAACTTCTTGGTTTATTCACTGCTAGCTGTGCTGTAACATCATCTCGGATTACACATTGCACTGCATCAATGCTAATTGTTCTTTCATAGTATGAGTATGAAGCAGTTTTAGACAGCTGCAGTAGGTTAGGAAGAAGGACATTCCTGCAGGCTACAGTAAACATTCCGAAGTCACAGGGAAAAAAAAAAAAAAAAGACAGAATTACAAATTGTATTTAATAACATGCTCTTCTTGTAACTGCAACCATTATTAATGTTAGCTCTTTTGCAAAACTGATAAATATGTTTATTATAATCTCACAAGTTCCATATTTTAACTTGTTCTTCTCATTTAAAATCAACAAATATGAATACATGTATAAGAAAACATCTGCATTGAAAAGATCATGCAGGAACAAAGAGAAAGAAAACATGTTAAGTTTGTCTCTGTTTTCCTTCTTTTTTTTCCCCTCATTGATAAAACATCAGAGGATATAGAGCACGTTCATTTCACATGCTGCTCACAGGAACAGCTACACAAACAGTATCTCTTTTTATGTCCTCCAGCTCTGGACTAGCCCACCTGAGATATAAGTTGGTTCTAACACTTTTTTACTAACGGAGATAGACCATCCATCAGCGTAGCAAAAACTTGAAGCAAAGGACTGCTTTAGATGTAATAGACTTTAATGTCTTCCATGATGCATTTATCTGTGTTTCAAAAATGTGTGAAAACACTGCAGGGAAGGCACACCCTCCAGAGCATCACTGCGCTGGGACCAGGCCAGGTGAAGCTGAGCAAAGCTGTGTGCCCAAATGATGCCCACTGCAGCAAGCAGGGACTGCTACCCACATGGGACCTTGCACAAAAGTTCCTTTTCTGCCAGTGCCCACCTTCCTGGATTATGTACTATGTAGTTACACTATCCAGTATCTCATGAGTTCCCACCAGTCATTTTGTCTTAGAGGACTTACAGTTTGGCTTTTTATAACCACCCATACTGAGAAGAGCTCACTTTTAAAGACTTTCAAAGAGACAAGTTGTTTTCTTTGGAAGGAGAGAATTTAAATTTTAGTCCATATTCATTATGAAGAAGAAAATAATGGTAATGTGCAAAGAGGATGTTCCTCATTCTTCCTTCAGAAAAAGACTTGCTTAGTTACACGGTTCTATAGCTAACTGTCAAAATGGTTTAAGTGAAGCAAAAATCAAATGTAGGGAAATGTAAACAAAAAATCAAATACTTTCAGACTATATCCAGGAAAACAAAATAGTCTAAAAGCAGAGAAGATATTCTAAAATATTCTTTACTTTATTGTTAATGCAGCAATTAGACTGGGGAAGGGCTGTGGAAGATGGACATTTTAATACTCAGAGTCAAAAGCCAAGTGAAGACATAAAGAATAGTTTTCACTTGGCTCTGATTTGTTTTAGAGTTTTTTTGCCAAAGTAGCATGCAGCAGCTGGGACGCAGAGGAGGAGTGGGTGGCTTTCAGATCTGTGGGGATGCAACATATGCAATGTATATCTGTGCAACATGTATCTGTGCTGAAGAAAATAAATCCACCTGATTTTCAGATTAATTCATAGTGTCTTATTTCTTTTTTACACCCCAGCTTTAAAATCTCTTCTGAATCTCAGATGGGATAGAAATTATAAATAAGCTGAATAAATTCATGTAAACACACTGCACAGGGGCCACCAAACTGCAACAGTGCAGCCCATGTCTGCGACATCAACATGGTATTGCAGTGCAAATATCATTATTAATGCTACTGTACATTTCTGTTGATGTCTTGGGAGACCTTGCTGATAAACAAATTGATCATCAAGCTGGTGTGGTCATGAGGTTTCCCTTGCTGCAAGCATTTTAAACTGTAAACTGCAAGTAAAAACCTGTCACTATTGATTGGAATACTGACTGGCACGGTTTTGAGCATCCCAGTGAATAAAAATAAAAAACAACAGCAGCAAAAATGCTTTCTAATATTCATAAAGCCCAAAGAAAAATACTAAAGTACCTTTCACAGTCAGGCTCCCTGAATTTCTGGCAATTCCAAACTGATTTGTTGCTATACAAGTGTAAACCCCAGCATCTGACTTGGTGATGTTGTAGAGCCTGAGACTGCCATCCTCCAGGAAGACGATCCTGGAAAAACAAACAAGCAAACACACAAAAAAAAAGAAGAAAAAAATACTTCTGTTACAGGAATTGTTACAAAATTTGAATGTCTTTTTCTAATATTTAAATGCCTCCAGTATGTTTTTTTTCTCTTCTACAGCATGGGGAATATGTATCAACTAATTTTCACCTCTCCTTGTTATTGATTTCTATATTGGGAAAGTTGTATTGACATACTGGAATTGACCATTAACTTATCTAGTTCACTTGCAGTAAAATTAGGAGTCTCAAGAGAATGAAGGAAGACCCAACTTGTTACCTAATTGTGCTATATTTTACCATAGGGAGCTTTTTTTCCAGATCTCAATGTTCTGATGCTATACTAATGTTATGTCTGAGGCCAGCTGCCTGTGCAATTTTGTCAGGATTATTAAAAGACATTAGCAGACTAGCTGAGATGCTGAAATGCCATCTCACAAGCCAAGGAGCCAAATCAAATACACCGCTGTCTCACAGGGCCCTCAAATCACCTTGTTAGTCACTATGCTGTTCACACCAGTTTGCTGAGGATTGGGTAAATTGCATTTAATAGTAATTTCAGAACCACTCCTGGGTTTTATGGACAAAATTAATTTCTAAGCTTGTTTACATGCTTCTTCTTGTCAATGAGCTACATTAGGATATAAGCCAGTGCAGTGTTCGGCTTAAGTTTTCTTTAGGTAGGCTTTCGTGGCATGCCAGGAACCTTTTTGCTTTTACACACAAGGACAGAGCTTCAGGGTTTGGGGATTTCCTTCACAAATACACAGAACAGGCATCTATCAAAGGTAGAGAGTCTCAAAATGAAAAGTGATTTATCTGGGCAATGAACTTTAGGACAGAAAATAATATTATCTAATAAGATTTTCTTTATTTTGTGTCAGTTCCTCCATCCACCTGTTGCCTCTGGTAGATATTTTGGTTATTTTTTTCTGAGCTCAGAAGGACAGTGGGCCGAATGTCACGACGTTCCTTGAAGTCTCAAGAAAATGGGATTAGGGTTTCCATGTAGAGTCCCTCCTACCAGTGTGGCCACCGTGAGCACTCTGCTTAGCAGGCATCAGAGAATCTGCACCTAACAGGGAAAAGCAGTGCTCAGACACCGCGTTTTCCTAGATCTGTCAAAATCCAGATGTAAGTCATAAATCCAAGAGAAAAGAGGCTTCATTCATTCCAGTGCTCACAGAAGCACTGCATTATTCTTTTATTTTCTTCTTTTAATTGACATTTAAATCTAATACAAGAATCTTTTTATAAAAAGAAAATATCTAATTCATGCATCACAGCTTGGGTATTTAATATTTATTACTGACAACATAAGATTGGATGATGTAATGAATTATTAAAGGAAACGAACAATAACAAGAGCAGAAGTTGAAGCTGGCAGTACTATCATAGCTGTTAAATCACAAAAACCATCACAGCATCTTGCTGTATTCCACTCTTGTATTTATAAGCTTGTAGCTATAAGCGTAACACACATCAGGCCTTGTTCTGCTTCCCATTACCCTCTCCCAGCCTTGCAGCTGACAGAGGGAAGCGCCAGACTCAGATTTCTGACCCTGTGTCGAAACACAGACGCCAACCCGGCCTGCAACCCTGCCAGGGAGCTGCAAAGCAGGGGCTGCAGCAGAGACACAAGGTGCCCAGCTGATTCTGGATGGAGGGGAGCACAACCATGGGGGCAGGACAGTGGGGATGTGCTGTTCTGGAGGTCATGTGCTCCACCCCCCCTCCATTTGCTCCCACTGCTGAACCAGCAGGATGCTCTTACTGTGCCTCAGTCCTGATTGAATTCACCTTGCAATGTCCATTTGTCACCAGCTACAATGCATGCTGCTTCGTCCCTTCATTTCTCTCCTTGTAAAGTCCTGACTCTGTAGAAGACTTGCCCCTGCTCAGGGGCAGATTTAGGAGCGAGGAGCCCTGAGCTGGGACATCTGCATGGTAGTGAGGACACTTTCCTGCCCTTCCAGTTCCTCCAGGGTGCCCATGTGTCTCTCACTGGGCTGTGGAGCTGAGAGAGGAAGGGATTCAGGTTTGAATGAAAAATCTTTGTTACCTTGGCAATAATCACCAGGTACTGCAGTGGTTGCTTGCCTGCAATTTGTAGTATGATGAGAAAATAAGTTGGGGTTTAATAATCTATCATATACCCACATTAATATATCCATATATTAATATCATATATCCAAATATATCGGAGAGGAGCAAAATACAAATCAACAAAGTACACTTTTTAACGTAATGATGTATCAACCATACAACATTTTCAGACAAGGAAGGGTGAATAAGCAAGAAACCAGAGGTTATAAGTGCATCTCCTTGGTGTGGGGAGACACCCGAGGACAATATTTCAAAGGTGGGTTTAAATATGAGGAAACACTTACAGGTTTTTCACTTCTGCCTTTGCAATGTTCTTTGCATTAATGATGCATTTCTTCACACCAGTTTGTACCAGCCGCAAGAAAACACTGTCATCAGAAACTGCTGGTGATAAAATAGTTGATTCAATTGACTGGTTAGCTAATGTATGCTGGCTTTATTACGGTGCCAACAGATTCTCAAGTGTGGATCAGCAAATGCTCATAAATTGTATACCTGAATTATAAGATATAATGAGACAACTTAGTGTCTCTCTCACCATCAAATATTGATGCCCTATTATTTTTCCTGCAGTTGTACCTAAAAGCTCCACGTACAGACTGGAATCTAGAAGTGGGCATGAGACAAAACCAGACAATCCTAGTCCCCGGAAGCTTCCACTATACATAAATATCCAGGAAAAAAAGAGTCTTTAAAGATACACATTAATAAAGGGAAGAATCTTTGAATGCACAAGCTCTGTGCTTAGCCCTCTAAGGATTACTGGTTATGGCTTTTTCACTGAAGTTTAGTGATATCTAGCTTAGACTTTTTTTTTTTTTTTTCCTTATGTATTCTTTGTTAGGAATTGAGATCTGAATAATTCACAGCTTCGTGATTTATTTGCTAAGAGGGGTTTGTACCCACTTAGGGGCTGATGAGGTAATGTTTGATCTTTAGAAATGCTGTTCTGAAGTAATACTTCCACAACTGGGCAGGCTGGGGCTGGACCGGCTCTTTCAGCAGATCAAAACAGAGCTCAGCAAAGACAAGCCATGAGCTAACAAAAGCTTCAGAGCTGCTTGAAACAGAGGTCACGTTACCTAAAGACAATTAGGGAGCTAGCTGTAAATACAACACTCGGGCAGAATTTATGTAAAAACACAATGAGATCCGGAGTAATTAGCTAGCAGAAAAGAGAATTAAAGGGGAAAAAAAAAAAAGTGATTTCCAGATATACCAAGGTCTGTGTCAGGAGAGGGATGAGAAGGCAGAACACAGCAGAAAATCAACATGATGCATTTCAAATGCATGGAAAAAAAGCTGTGTGAAATACCGACCCAGTTGCCAGGAACGGCAAAGTTGACATAAACTTCCTCACAGCCGTGACTTTGTGCCATGGGTGGGTTCGGAGGGGCTGCACTCTGTCCTCTTCCATTTATCTTCCAAATACTGCGATTCTGACGGTGATGGGAATATTTGCTTTAATTTGCTTCAGATCAAGCTCTTACAAACGATTTAAAAAGAAGCTGTGAAATGCATGTCTCACCTGCTGAAAGGCTTGCTGAAAACCGTTACTTTTCACGACATTTTAGACTGCACAAAGGCTATAGATAATAATTCTTACCATTTGCATCAGGAGACAAGGTAACTTCAAGTACTGTGACAAGACAGAAAAGTTAACTTGCCCAGTATAGCGCAAGTAGAATGTTTTCTCTGCCAGAAAAAAAAAAAAAAAAAAGGACTTTACTCCATAAGTAAATGAGTGTTTGTCAAGGGACAAACATCAAAAGATCTGCAGTGGAGCTGATAAATATGTCGCTGGTAAAGGAGAGGAAAGAAGAATGAAAGCAGCTACTTGGGACACAGCTGTTCATGAAGTCCTGTTGCAGCAAGGGATTGCGTAGGCATCTCCAACTTACAAAATGCTTCAGTGCTTATCAGGCTCATGCTGATGCTGATGTTCCTGCCTGAATTATGCAGGTGCTACCTCTGGGTAAATAGCTCAATTAAGTAAAGACACCATAAGGAAATGAAGAGATGAAAATCCGGTGAAATAAACTCATACAACATTCTAGCACACACGAGCTGACTGGAAATGCTCTGAAATACCATTCCGTATGTAACCAGCCTGGGAACCAGCCCCACAAAGAGCTGGGTATGGTGGATGAAGTTCACTTCAAGTAGATGATGCAGGTATAAAACAGCTGTCAAAGCCCAGTTTGAGGACATACCCAGGAAAGCCAAGGGAGCCCCAGTCCAGGGTTTGGCTCCAGAGGTGGTGCTTTTCTGAGCAGGATGATGACTGATTTCAGGAAATGATCCAAAGAAATTTGAGTCTCCATAAACTATCAGTCACATACCAGCTTGGGAGAAGTTCTTCCCCATTTAAGAACAGTGTAAGTGATGTCCTTTTGTTTGCTTTTAACTTCGTACTTTCATGGGATTGATCGGTGTCCTTGTCCTCTCTGAGTCACTCCATTAATGTGGAAGATAAGTGCTATGTGAGAAGGGAAAACAGGCTACCCAAGATCTGCTGGAGTCAAAACTCTGCATAATGTTCAAAAGAATAGTTTGCAATGTTTCTGCAGAAGACATGAAACTGGGAAGAAGTGAGAGCTCATTAAAATTGTCACACATACTTTTTAAGTAAAGAACTTGAGAAATCAAGCAGGGATGATAGGTACAGCTTTTAATTAACCAGGCCAAACAAACCATCTCCGAAAGTGTTGTCTCATGTGAACAAAAGATTGTTGATGGCTATTTGCTTTGATCTTAAGAGCATGAAAGAATAATATGTATTTAGCAAGGCCGATAGAAAAATAAAATCTGAGAAAAGAAAGAGGTGTCAACTCATTAGATTTTGAAGTGTTTTGTGCACTGCTGTATTGTTCAGCCTATCT